TGAATTCATATTTGTATTTACAATCCAGTTTTAGCTTTACAGCGTGTTTTGCTAATTTCTTTGATTTTACAATTGTATATCTTTTGCAATGAAAATCTTAACTTCTAATATAATTTACACTTTAAAATTTATATTTTACTGTTATAACTTACCATAAAATTCACTTTTAAATAAGTGTTTCATTTAAATTTAAAAGGTGAACATTCTAAACTTTAAGAAAAAAAATTGTATGCTGAGATTGCTAAGATCTATGGTAAGAATTAATCCTCTCTCCATGAAATTGTGAAAAAGGAAAAAGAAGTTCATGCATAGTGTATATGGGTTTGGAACTATCTATGGTTTCAAGTGTCCACAGGGGTCTTAGAACATATTCTTCATGTGTAAGAGGAAACTGCTATAATCTCTACTGATCTGTCTTCAAGTTCATTGATGCCTCTGCTTGCTCCTGTCTTTGAAGGCTGCTGGTGAATTGTTCAATTATTATAATTTTCTGTTTAGATATTTCAGCTCGGCTCCATAACAACTTCTCCTTATTGACATTCTCTATTTGATGAATTGTCATCATACTCTCCTTTAGTTCTTTAAACATGGTTTCCTTTCATTCTTCAAATCTATTTATAGTAACTGCTTTGAAGTCATTGCTAAACCTGACATCTGCACACTCCCCAAGGCAGTTTCTGTCTTATATTTTTCCCCTGTGTAAAAATAAAGGGAGGGGGTGAGTCACACACTGTGTATGGGGTTACACTTTCCTTTTTCTTTGCATGTCTCATATTTTTGGTTGAAAATTGGGCATCTAGGTAATATATTGTAGCAACTCTTCATTTTGATCCTCTCCAGGCTTGTTGTAGCTATTTTCTTTTTGTTATTGCTGTTCATCTGTTTATTTGTTCATCTGTTTAGTGACTTGGCTGGACTAATTCTGTGAAGTGCATTTCAGCACAGGGTGCACTCTCTGATGTCCCTGTTTAAATGTTTCTTCCTTGCTTTTATTTTTAAGCTTGACACTTCCTAGGGGTTACTCCTGGGTCAGCCACTCACCAGAGGTTATGCTCAAGCCCCTGGAGCCAGTAAGGTTTTCATCCTTTCCCTTTTGGTTTGTGTGTGGCCTGGAAACCACTTTCAAAGTTCAAGGAGTTTATATGCCTGCCCCACCATTAACTTACCTTAGAAGTGCCCAGTCTAGTCGCTTTTGGATGGTCCCAGTCTTGGGCTTTTCCACAGCCTCCTGTACCACCAGTATTGGGTGTGTATTTTGACTGTCTTTTGTCCTGGTTTCTCTGCTAAACTTCTGCTGGTCTGCCTCTGTTGGTGTCACAAAGCTAACAGCCTACTCTGTTAGCCCTTGTAATATCTACTATTTTTTACAATGATCTGGGGCATGGATAGTCTACACTGTTCCTAAAATGGCAAAGCATATGAGAAACTGCATTCGTTGTTTTGGTAAGACACTCGCACCACCACCTGCTTTCTAACATTACTAGAAAGAAAACGCGACTTCCTTCATCTCTGTCCCACTCGGCAACACTCATCTAGAGATAGCCTCTCTGTGACTGCTGCTGCCTTTTTCCAGCTTAAAATTTTAAAACAAATAAATTCCAAGTACCACCAGGTTATTCTGCTAGACTTGTCCTTCATCCGGCTCCGCTATGGAAGGGGATAATGATCTGTCATAAAGGTAAATTCATTACCACGAGATAACATCATGATACTTCCACTGCCCATTTTCACAGCAAGGCACGCTCTTTCTATAAGAGAACATGGTTGAGTGGTGACATCACTGAATATATGGTTTGCTAATCCAAAAACCAAATATTTGTTTTGTCTTTAATTATTAATACATAAAATTATAATTGCACATGTTTTCTAGAAATTTCTTAAGAATTTTTTTTAATCCAAAGTAAATCATCTGCCTTAATACTTAATAAGTCATGGCAATACAGCAGGGAAATAGAAATATCTGGGAGACCATTCTAGGCTGAGGATCTCACAAGTGCTAACATCTAGAAGAGGGAAAAAGATTTAACATACAAAGTCCAGCAGTGTGGAAATGTACTAAAGGAGAAGAGATTTATAGGAGATGAAGTAGGAAGAAGACAAGCCAGATTAGAAAAGGTTTATAGACCATGGCAGAGTTTTGATATATCCAATGAGTGTTTGGAAGCAATTTCAAAGTAGGGCCACCCCCAAATTGCACATTTTTATTCAAACTAAAGTCATTGAGAGAAAGCCTAGTCATATTAGAGTCTCAATAAGAGCTCAAATATAAGACAACTCTTTCTTTTCTAAGGTTTAATCTTGGCGGGGGAGGGACTTTGACCTAAATTTAGAGATCTGTGGTGACTACATTATGTCCTTGGATTTCCTTCTAATTGCTATCTTTTATGACATTTGCTCAAATGTGACACTGGGGAAGTAAGTGGGTCATTACCAGTGTTCTACCACCATCCCTGGGGGAAACCTAGTCTTTGTCCTGCTGATAGGTACTGTCAGCCTTAACAAGTTCATGCATCAGAAATAGCTTTATATTTTTATACACAAACAATATTGACCATTGTGCTGCAGAACTGGAGTGACACTGAATCGAATTGTACTTGTTTAGACTTAGAAGCCTAGAGGGCCTGTGAAGCTATGCTAAAAATGGCTGAAGAATGGGTGGGAAAATTTTCAGTATAAGAAGAGTCATTGACAAAAGTTAGGAGCCACTCAGCTCTATGATGTCTTTTGGACTTTCTCTAATTCACCTTGCCCTCCTCTGTCCCATCTTACCTGGCACTTTCCATGTAGGGACATTCAGAAAGTATTGGGTTGGTGAGCATGCATAGATTACCCAATTTAGATTAAAGCAGTGTCTTTAGAGAGAGAAAAAAACCCTCTGTTGATGGCAGCATGAGTATGGAGGGATTTGTGCACTCTGCAATAACCACACCTGCTATGGCTGAATGCTTGTGTCCCCCCAAAATTCATATATCAAAAGCCTGACCCCATGTTGATGGCA